AAAAACCATCCAGCAGTGAAAACAAATCAAGAGTAGTTCCAGAAAAAACTCTATCTCTTCAAGAAAAAGGTTTAATTTCGGAAGCTGTACTAAAATCTGAAATAATTTGGACAATTAACATGGTTCTCAAACATTATTCGTTTAATTCCAGCAAAAACAATGGCAAACTGTTTTCAGCCATGTTTCCAGACAGCGAAATAGCCAAAAGCTTTGCGTGTGGTGCTACAAAAATGGCATACACATTATGCTTCGGAATTTCACCATTTATTAAGGAAAAATTATTATCAAAAATAAGAAAATCCAAACATTTCACCGCTTGCTTTGATGGAAGCGTGGATAAATATTTACAAAAAGATCAAATTGATGTTATTATTCGCTTTTGGGATGAAAGCCAGATAACCTCAAGATATATGAGTTTAGCATTTTTGGGCCATGCAAAGGCGTCAGATATTATAAAGGCCATAAAAAACGAAATTGCGGAGTTAAATTCCCAAAAACTTCTTCAGATAGGTATGGATGGACCTAATGTTAACCTTAAGGTACTAAAAGAGTTTGTGGACCAAAGAAGAAATGAAAATGAAGATTATCCCCAACTTATTGATATTGGGAGCTGCAGTATTCACACTTTACATAGATCTTTTCAAGTTGCAGTGCAGGAAACGGGGTGGGACTTGGCCTCTATTTTAAGAGGATTGTGGCAAATTTTTAAAGATTCTCCTGCAAGGAGGAGCGATTTTGAAGAAATAAGTAAAAATAAAATTTTCCCACTAAAATTCTGTGCGACGAGATGGACAGAAGATGTCTCCGTAGCTGAAAGAGCCATACAAATATGGCCAGATGTATGTTTGTTCGTCAGTTCTTACAAGGATAAACCACGCTCAGCAACGAGCTGCCAATCCTTTCAAACTATTAAAAAAGCTACTAATGATCCACTGTTGGTAGCAAAACTAAGTTTTTTCTCTTTTGTCGGCGGCCACTTAAAAACGTACCTTACTCTTTACCAAACAGATGCACCAATGATACCTTTTCAAGCAAATGACATTATGGAACTATTGTTTTCAATCGCATCTCTTTTTATAAAAAGAGATATTTTGGATAAAATGGAAAACCATAAAGACCTGTGCTCAGTTGATGTCAAGGATTCAAAAAATGTAGTTTTGGCCAAAGATGTTGAAATAGGCTTTTCCACAAAAAAATATATAAAAGACTCTTTAAAAGAGAATAAAATGTCTGACAAAGATGTGTTAATGTTTAAATTAGATTGCCTTGGTTTTCTTAAAACACTTTTTAATAAAATTCAGGAAAAAAATCCGCTTAAATATACTATTGTGCGCTTATCGAAATGCCTAAATCCAAAGACTTTGATGGCAACTCAAACGGAGACTACTACCAATTTTAGTAAACTATTGCAACATCTACAGGAAAAAAATATTATTACCCCTAGTACATGTGACAAAGCGTTGTTACAGTTTAAATTATTTTTAAAAGAAATGTCCCCTAATGTTTTTGAATTCAATGCTTATGACAGAATGCAACAAAGGCTTGATATATTTTATTCAAACTTTTTACAAAATAAAAATGAATATGTGGATTTATGGGATATTATAAAAATAATTCTTACTTTATCGCATGGACAAGCATCTGTAGAAAGAGGGTTTTCAGTAAATAAAGAGATAACCGTCGAAAATTTATCCGAGAAAGCTTTACAAGCATCCAGATTAGTTTATGATGAATATAAAAACAAAGATATTTCAAAGCTTAATTTTGAAAAAGAACTTTTATCGCATGTACGATCTTCAAGAATGAGGTATCAAAATTACTTGGATGACGAAAAAACAAAAAAAAACAGAGGATGAGAAAACAAAGAAGCGTACAAAGGTCTTAGAAGAAGTTAATGAGCTAAAGAAGAAAAAAATTAAACTGGAAAAAACTGTAGAAACTTTAAATAAAGATGCCGACGAATTGGCAAGAAATGCGGAGAAGAAAAGCGACTTTACCCTTTTAGCAAAATCAAATGCATTCAGAAATAAATCAAAAGAAACTCTTTTAAAAATTAACAGCATTGCAAACAATATAACAGAATTATCAAAAAAAATTACTTAAACTACAAAGTTTTTATTTTGTTTTAGATAAAATTTCTTACAAACTAATTGGTTTACTTTAGCAAAAGTCATATTAATCAATTATTAGGTACTATAAATTAATATGTTTTTAATTTGTTATTTTTGACAAAAATGCTATATGCTTAATTTTCCTAAGAACTCCAATTGAAGTGGATGAAATTTTCCCTGAAACAAAATAAACGCTATATATATATACAAATATATATAATCCTAGGTATATAATCAAATTATGTGCCAAAAAGGTAAAGTCGCTTTCTTTCATTTCGAATCTCAATCTTTGACTGATATTTAATTTTTTTTATTTTTACAGTAGCTTCTTGTTAGTTGGGCTGTGTTATATAGTCTTTTTAAGGCGTGAATTGTAAAATGTACGTATACATATAAGAAGAATTTTAATAATTAAAATTTTATAGTTTGTGTCTGTGGGTGGTAGTACAATTTATGTAATTGTAAATCTTACTAGTACAGGGTAGGACACCTATAGGTGAGGTGTAGGGAGCCTGCATGTTATATTACAAGAACTATGTAGTTGTTTGTTTTTAATAAAATTATATTTTTAAAATAAAAAAATGTCCTTGATTTTTTTTTAAATGTCATGAAATTGTCCTGGAAAAAACCTGGAAAAAATTAATGGAAAGTTCGTGGGAACCCTGGCGTTTAGACGTTTCAAAAGGTCCTGCGAATTCGCAAGATTTGAAATCTGGGGGGCGGGAATCTTGAGATTGATTCAATATTTTGCGAAAATCTCACGAATTTGTCGTGATGCGCATGCGCATTAATTAAATCTGTCTTCGTTTCAACAATAAATAAGCGCAATTGCACGCCTTTGTCGCCAATGGTATAGTTGCCACTGGTATAATTGTTCATCCATAATAAAAACACAAAATCGCAATTTACATAAAACAACAAATAGAAAATGTTAACCAAGTATGGCAAATATCGCCTGGGGAGAAAATTAAGTCCCTAAAATACCATGGCAAATATCACCTAGTGAGAAAAAATGCATCTATATGAAATAGAGCTGTAAGCAATCTGCGTCTAACGGTACCGGGTTCGATTCCCGGTCACAGCCTTGGGTGTTGTAGTTGTTTATTAAACAAAAATAATAAATATCATGAGCTGGCTAAATAGTCTTAAAAAGACTAAAAGTCAAAAAATCCAAAAAAAAAAAATAGGAGTTGCGAAAATTCTTATTTCGCATCTATATGAAACCGCATCCAAAATTTTGATTTTATAGGTTGGCTACTTTTAACAGCATACTAGTAAATATTTTTCATATTGGTTATAATATCTTTATAATTTTTCTAGTACTTACAAGACTTATCTGGCAATAAATTTTGTTTAACCAAAGAAAATCCTTTTTTTCTTCTTAGCAGCCGCTTGTTGTAAATAAGTAAATTAAGGACGCCATGGCGAATCGAATTTTACATTAACTGTCAAACCAATGATTGTGATACCAACCATAGATAGCAAAGCCAACTATCTAAAGTAAAATTCGACCAAATTAAATATAAGGTATAAAATTAATTTTTTTATAGATTTTTGCAAAATAGATAAAATAGCATAAAGAACTCATGTCATTTAATATACTATTTTATCGTTTGATTCGAATAAATTAACCACCTTTTGTTTTGTATTATTAACTTTTGAAGTTCACCATGTCAAGGGGGGGGATGTTGAAAACCTTAGTTAATTATTTATTTTGTTTCCCAATATCGTATTTTCTATTCATTGTGTAGCTTGTGCCGCCTAAACAGCGTGTAAGAGAATTAATCGAGACGGCGAGAAGAAGAAGATTCATTTAAAAGCTTTTATTGTTGTCAACAAATAAAAACTAGCAAAATTGAGGAATCTTCGTTTTTACAAATAAAAATCATAAGGCAGACGTGCCAGAACACTGTATGAGAAAACCCAACTGTCATCCATGATAATATTATTTTTTTATTGACGCATATAATTCAGAAATTATAACTGACATTAGTAGCAACAGTAATGGAGCTTGCAAGAAAATAACTATTAATAGATACCGATAAAAGTAGATCACATTTTTGTTAAAACTGAAAGGACAGGAATTTTGATATTTCATAAGTACTAACCAAAAACATTTTTGTATTTTAACAGTCAGGGATCGCGCTACTTGCGCATCCGTATATAGGACTTTATAAAAAAAGGATAATGATTAAATTAAGCAAATTGTATGAAATAATGGTTTTTTGATTAAAAATTGTACTACCTAATTAAAATGATTTTTTAGAAATGGTTTAGATGCTATAGCAACTTCTTAATTGTTTGTTAAAAATGGTGGATTGTGTATTTTAGTTTGCTATATGCAAATATTACTAATTATTACACATGTTCATTTGGTGTAGGCCCTGGATGCATTGTGGATTGTGAAAATTGGGGGCGTCCCCAGTTTCCCTATAAAAAGCGCTAAATCAGCTGTAGCACCAGGGATGTAATTCAAGTCGTAGAGTAGTTATACCATTTTACCGAGATATGTCAGAAGGAATACGAAATCAATAAAATAATAACATTTAAATTAAATTACAGTGTTAAAATCGAATTAAAGAATAAAATAATCTAGAAAATTTAATGAAATAAAACGTGAATTTAAAAATTCTTCATATTTTAGTAGTTTTTGTGAAATATTCTTCTTTTCTTCATTAGCTCTCGATGTAGGCTAAATTTCTGCATATTGAAGAAAATTCTGCATTTCTGACAACACTAGTAAAGAGTTCCATAAAATAAAATATATTTGTTGAGTGTTCTATGGCTTTAGGAACTGCTGTTATAGAGCACTGCTATAGTTTTAAAAGGAGATAATTACCCATGTAATTAAAAAGAATAAAACATAATTAACCTTCCTTTTTGTTGCAGCTCTTCAATCGAAAAAATATCTCCTGAAAGTGTCGAAATAATACCAGAGGATCAAGATGAAACAAGTGTGGCAGAGGACACAATGTCGTACACTTCAATTTCCGAAAGCACTTCCGCTACCGTTCTAGATTCCGCTTTTAATATGTTTAAGTCACAAAAAATGCTTAAAGACACATACATTAGGAACGAAGTTATGACCGAGAGTGGTGCCAGCGATTTATCGCAAAATTCCGATAGCATTTTTATTGGGACTGAAGCTATAACTAGAGCACCTAGTCGTAGTACCATGAATTTACCCTTAGCACAAGTGAACCAGGTATTAATTGACACCCAGCCACAAAGTACCAACCAAGACATGCCTAACATCTTAAAGAAAACCAATGTGATTGATTTCTCACAAGACAATGACAGCGTTAAAAGTGAAAACATAGAAAATCTAATGGACACTTCTACGGACGAAGGATCCCAATCTGATAAGACAATAATGGCAAGTGATAACATAATGGAAAGCAGCAGCGATACTAGCACAACCGAAACTAGTGGACATTCGTCCTATTTAAAAAACATGCTTGCAGATGCAATGACCGAAAAAAGTAGCGAACACTCCAACCAATTGTATGACTTGTCTCAAGGGGTGATGTTGAATTCCTCCAAGGAAGAAGCATTAGAAAATATCACCATTTCACAACTGGATATGCCGGCAAGGGAACATTCGCCGATAAGTTCCGAAAGTCGTTCTGACCTGGTAAAGATTGGTTCGGACTACACTTCTGGTCATACGTCCGGCGATGAACTAGAAACAACCACATCGTCCGATTTAGAAATTATTTCCAGTCCAAACGGCGATTCGAGCAGCACTCAAAGCAGGCAAAGTCCAGCAAAACAGACAATTCACCACAAAATAAAAACGGACGGGTGTTCCGTCGATAGTCTCTTATCTAAGATGACGATGAAAAAGGCCAAAGGACACAATCGGGAGCTATCGGAAGCATCCAGCATCAGCGACGATTCACATTCCTCGGAAGTCGAGAAGCTGATTAAAAGAATTTCCGAGATGACGGAGATTTTGGAATCGAGAGAATCAAAGTTAATTGATGTAAACAGAAGGAATGCCGAGCTGCAAGATATAAACAACGACTTAAAATACCAACTTGATTCCTTCTTGAGCAAACAACTTGAGTCTGCCGAATTGTTTCAAGTGACCGAGGAGTACACGCAACGATTGTCAGCGTTAGAAAAGAAATTCCAGCAGGCCATAAGAGAGAAAGATACTTTGAGAAAACAATTGGAGCATAGCAAGCAGGATGCTGCAACAAAGATGAGCAAAAGCGATCTGGAATCCTTAATTTCGGAAAAAGATGAAACTATAAAAGAACTTAGAGAAGAGGGGGAAAAGCTATCAAAGCAACAGTTGCAACATTCCAATATAATCAAAAAGTTAAGAGCCAAGGAAAAGGAAAATGAAATTACCATAAAACATATGAAGTAAGTATTAATAATAAAAATGTACATAATTATAATATTAACAAAAAATTAATGCCTCAGGGAAAATATTGAAAGTTTATCCACCGAAACCGAACGTCTAAAACGTTCTTTAACAGCAAAAGAGGAAGTGGAACGTTCGCAAATCGAGGCAGTTTATCAATTGACAGCCAAAAATAAAAAAATTGAAACAGAGTTAGCAAAACTTCAAAGTGAATTGGACGACTTAAAACAAAAATACGACACCACTAAAAAATCATTAGATGCAGCCAAAAAAGAATTACAAGACAAAAACAGAACTGGTTCCGAATTACTCGCTAGAGAACAAATGTTGGAAAGTTTGGAAAACCAGAAGAGGGCAACGGAATCGCAAAACGAGGAGGTGAGTAATTCCGGACTTTTTATTTTCCTTATATTATATTAGTCAAATTTGCCTAGGCCTCTCCTGACACATTTTATTGGATCAAAAGTTACCATGTTTTTTTTAATCTCATTTCCTATGCGTCAAATATTATTTAAGGTAATTATTAAACTTTTAGAACAATTTTGTACAATATTGACCCTGGATATACTTTTACTAATCTTTACTAGTATAGGAAATTGATAGAAGGGATAATCTGAATAAATATGTCTTGCAGTGAGGTTTTGAATGGAATTTGTTAGAGGTCAAAGGTGAGTGGATGATCAAGTTAGGGCAACACCTAAAATAGGGGTAAAAAAAGGGAAATTTGGAAATATCTTGCATTCCAATTAAAAAAAAACTTAACTAAAACGTAATTGTAGACAGTAATGGTTGTCTAGGGCCAAATTTTGTAGATCCAGGAAATTGGTTAATAGTTTGAAGAATTAATAAAAGTAATTTATCGATGATACTCCGGAAACAGACGAATATTCCTGCGTGTCGTGACGATAGTACTATCTCGTGTTGGGCCATTCCTTACCTTATTACAAATAAATTGGTTCACTATCTAAGCATATTTAATTACTTTAATTAAAACTATCATGGTGTATATTGATCAGGGCTCCCAGCAGGTAGTTTTTTTAAAGACTTGTCTATATTTTTGTCGTAAGTCTTTAAAAGTCTATTTTTTTACCTAAAGTCTATAAAGTCTATATTTTCTGTTAAAATCAACTATTAAAGAAACATATTTATTTAAATATACATATTCACAGTTTTATAAATATCGAAACCACAGTAAACCAAGTGAAACATTTGAAAACTTTGCAGTTTACATTTAAAGTTTCCGCCGTCCAGACCCGACCCGCCCGCCAAAATTATTGCTGAATTGTTTCTGGTTGGGTCTAGGGTTTCGTTTACGTTTAAAGTTTCGGTTCGCTAGGTCCCCCCTAAAGCAATTTTTTATATAAATGTGATTTTATTTATTATAAGTTATAATTTATTACAGAATTTAATATTTTTTTTGTTAATTATGTATTTTATAACAGATATGGTTACTTGTTAAATTTAATTCAATAAAAATTTATAATTTCAAGTTATCTCTATGTATTTTAAATTTAAATTTAGATCTTTTATCCCAAAAAAAATGTATACCTCCATTTTATAGTTATTTCGGTAATTAATTTGGTCTATATTTGGTCGTTTATTTTTTATTATTAGTCTCTTAAGTCACTATTTCTCGCAACATGGACTGCTGGGAGCCCTGATATTGATGGAAAAATGTCAGATTTAAAATTATATCAATAATAATAACAAAAATGTGGTTGTCCCTCAAACTAATGGGAAATACGGAATAGTTTTAAGTTACTTTGTGTAATATTTGTGTCGATCCCGACTGACGTCATAATTTGACCATTTTAAATATTTTTTTATTTTAATAAAATAAATAATAAAAATTTAAAATCGAATCAAATCTCTAATATTTGGATTTTTTAAATAAAATTTTAAATTTGTCGATAAATTATAGTAGATAATAAATTGCACCACTTTAATTTGAATTATCTTAAATAGGGGGGCCTGGAGGCGGGTAAGGCGACAGGCAAAACTAACTTTTTTTCGCAAACTTTAATTTAAATTCTGTTTGCGCCGAACTTTAATTTAATGTGATTATAAACTATTTGGTATAAATTTGGTGTGGGTCCCATGTATAATAACTGAAATATTGGTATACCCAAAATCCACCAGCCGCCACTGCTTTAGGTATAGGATATGATATAGCCATTTTACTAAGAATGTATAAAATATATGAGGTGTCCTGTTTAAAATAACAAAGTTTAAGACATTTCCGGTAAAACAGGAAGTATTATTTTGTTCAAAATAATTAAGGAAAGTCTAAATCGAATAATTTACGCTATTAAAATTTTAAATCGATGTCTCGCGATTCCCTAGAAACTTCTAACGGACTACGTACGTGAAAAACCCTGTATATTAAACATCATTTATGTGTTATGCTATACTTAATTATTAATAAAAGATACAACAATATTTGTATAAAAATGACAAAACTAAACATTTATGAATACTGCTACTGCTAATTCAAAACTGATCCTGGCCACAGAAACATCATTTGCATAAAAAAGTTAATATATCAAATAATAGTCAAATATCAATACTTTAACGTGTTATACTCAAATTTATAAAACAAACTTGCTTCTTCAATTATTTACCCTTTAAATTTTAAATTAAATTATCACCAGCGCCTCCTGTACGTTACAATCTAAACAAAATTTGTTCATGGAAGAATTGTCATTAGTAAGATCTACAATTTTTCCAAATTTCAATCGATACGTTTTGAAATATAAAAGTTATTCGAAAAAAAATTTAAATTCATTTTTAACACAGTGAAGAAAAAAATAAAAATAAAAATAAAAACAAAGTTATCAATGGACAAGATTTTTTTTTTTGAAAAAAGTAGGTACTGCATTTAGATGTAGAAATAAGGTAAAAAAGTTTCAATCGATTTCTTGAACCCTTGCAAATCGAACGTTAAAGCGAAAAAATTCGAATGTGTTATAATTTTTTTTTTAATTTTCATTAATTTTATTAATAACATAAAGATTATCATCGGAAAAAACAAGAATTTCGTTTTGACTTCAAATTTAACCTTAAATAACTTTTGATGGAGTGAATTTAACCAAAAATGTTAAGAGACTTTTTTTGTAGAGCATTTGATTTCCCATAAGAATATCTATAGTTTTTTTTCGGTTACTAATTTTTACATGAATTACAAAATTCCAAAGTTAAAAGATCAAATTGTAAAACTATACCAATTTTTAAGGCATGATTGCAAGGAAACGGTTCATCTGATGGGAAATTTTATTAAAACCTTTTTTGTAGAGCATTCAATTTTCTTTAAAAAATATTCCATAGTCAATTTTTTAAACTCAATGGTTTGGGAGTTCTGAGAAAAAAACTCGCTCAGGAAAATTAATATCAATATTATGGACTGAAACTTTCACAAAAATTTTTTTGGCTCAGTCTAAGATAGATGTTACGTTTTTTGTCTGACTAAATAGATGTGTGTATACCGACAACTCAAAACCCTTGAGAAATTATTGAGAATTGATATGGGCCGATAGTTAAGCATATTATATCTATCTTCTGACTTTAATACCGGACAAACTTTGTAATATTATAAATTATAATTTTATAAATTTACCTATATGATTTAACCATATCATTGTGCAAAAAATGTGTTGTTTTTGAACGCTGAACTTTCAAAAATATATCAATTGCTGAATAATATAGGTCAGCTACAATTAGTGGGCAGTTATTTAGAAAATGTCACATTTTGTATTAGTTAAAACAAGATTAAGCGATTCTGGTGGTTTAATACAAACCTCTGCGCCAACTCCCTAGACACAATAATTACCAGTTTTATTTATTCACCAAGGAACCAACCAAATTTACTTATTTTATAGGCATATTGTAAGAAATGAAAAGTTTAGTATGAAATAAGTGATTTAGAAATAAAATTTAAACGTTGAATTATATATAGGTAATTAACACTAATGTAATGTAGGCACTACAGAAATGCGGACGCTATTATCTTAGTTTGGCAAACATAAGGGTTAGTTCCCTGTTGCATAACACCATTTAATTGTACGTTTTATAATAACCTGAAACAACATTTGACGCATAGGAATATTGAATATTTGCTAAAAACAATTTTTGTGACCAATATTTGAAGGTGAAAATGTTCAGCTTATGTATAGTGTCGTCACAAATTCAAATTTGTCCAGTTTAAATTTAAGTGTTTCACGTAGCTTACGCAACTCATTTTCCGTCACATAGTTAATGACCCCTTCCTCTAGAGCGTGGCTTCAGATGAGAAAAATAAATTATTTATATGAAATAAATATTATTTGTAGATTATGGGACAATTGGAGAGTCTACGTTTAAAACTAAGACAATGTGATCAAGACTACCTTAAAAAGGAATTGGGGTTGAAAAACGAAAACAATGAATTGTTACAAAGGTTGGAGGAAGCTGAAGCTAGAAATGAGGAGCTGTCCCAGTCGATTTTGGAAGTTAGTAAGCCACTTGTACGTCAACTGGAATCCCTACAGGCCACACATAACTCAAAAGTAACCAGCTTTGAAAGCTTGGAACAACAGTACACCATAAAAATAAGTAAGTTTATACAATTTGTAAAAACGTTTATATTTATATTTTAATTTCTTTAGGCGAACTACAAACAAAATTGCAAGCAACAGTAAAAACAGAGAAGTTAGCAAAGGAAGAGTGCAATGGTTTAAGATCTAAAGTTGCGGAATTAGAGGGGCATCTTAGTTCATTGAAGCACCAACAAGAACTATTTCAAATGAAAGTTGAACAACAAAAGACTGAACATCAAATTAAAGAAAACGATTTTAAAACGTGAGAATATTTATTTTATACCGCAAAAATAAATTAAACATTAATTTTAAGGGAAATTGGCAAGATAAAGGATTCACTAGTATCTGCACAGCAAAAAGTTGAGGACCAATATTCTGAAATTAATGCATTACAACAACAGTTAAAAATTGAAAAGGAAGCTAATAATGCGGAAAGAAAAAGAAAAGAAGTATGGATATTAATTTTGTTTTCTAATAATTGTACTAGTTATTGTTTAAGGAACATAACGACCCTCCTCACATATCCGGAGGTAGACTTTCTCCGGAAACAGGAAGTAATTCACCAACCCTGAGTTTAGGAAAAGCTTCTATAGCGGATTCATTATCAAGTTCATTTTGGTCACAGGTTATTAAATGTATAAATATTTCTAATTTTTAATATTAAAACGTAAACTTTAAGGATGAGCCTTTTGATATAGCACAAACTCCGCGATACACAAATATGCTTGAAATGCAGATGTTACAAACTAATGTAAAACAAAAAGATGGTGAACTACAACAGCTGCAATGGGAGTTAAATAGAAGGGAGCAGGAAAGATCTCTCCTCAACTTGGAAATTTCTAGTTTATTAACAAAAGTTGAAGGTCTGGAAAGCAGTGTGGTAGAGTTAAAGACCTTGAAAACCCAGTTTATTGAAGTTCAACAGCAATATGATACTTTGTGTCAGTTGTATGGAGAAAAGGTGGAAGAAAATGAGGAGTTAAAACTAGATTTGTTAGATGTCAAAGAAATGTACAAAGCTCAGATTGATGAGTTATTAAGACAGCAAAAACAACAGCTAAAATAATAGCATTATGTTCTGTATTATTTTATCTTTACTTATACAATTTTATGGGCTAGTCTTATAAAAATATATATACATACAATGGTTAAAATAGAGAAGTTACTATAAATTTATAGTAGGTGGCAAATTTTTGTATACTGCTTTTATATGTTTGGTGAAACTTTTTATTACTCCTAAGAATATGTTTGTGATCCATTATACATAATATATATACATATTATGTTTTGATTTGATTTCATTAAATTTCAATGAGACATTTATTTGTAAAATATACCTACTTTTGTAATTGCAATTCGAGAGTAAAAGATTTTAATCTGTGATAATTTAAAATATTTATACTTGCATATTGCTTGCAATAAAACTAAGCATAATTTTGTTTTAATAAAGTGTTATGTCTCCAGTTTGACTTTTAATACATTAATTTCCTATTAATAATTCAATAAAACCAGTAATATTCACTATAACACTATATTGAGTTAAAAATACATTGATAGAAACATGTATAAACATAATTAACAAGTCAATTTATTTAATTGTAATGTATACTGAAATGTATTGTTTATTATGTCTTGACAAATATCCACAAATTTAATGGTAAATTACCCTATTAACAAAATTGAAATATTAGTCTACACCTAAAACAAAGTATTTTATTTATTATAATTTGAAATAAAACATCTTAAAAATGATCAAAATTAAAAGAAATTTTTGAAGTTTAAAGAAAGATTTTAAAGTTATCCTTTGATGGTTGTTTTATATGTAATAAAAACATTGACCTACAAATGAGGAAATATGCATATGACGCACTTTATTAATGATTTTCTTGAATTTTGAATAATAATTTGATTGGATATTTTATATTTTAAAGAAACATTTAATATATGTATGTATTACTATTGTTGTTTTGTAGAAAATTATTGGGTGTAACATGATCTTTATAATATATTATATATACTGCCAATAATAAAATTTAAGAATTCTAACAAAAATTAAACGAAATCCTACTTAAAATAATAATATATAAATGTTTAAAAAAACTAGATAATTAATATTAAGAAAAAATTAATTTGCCTAAAGCAGACTCATTTATTTTTATATTTTTTCTCACACAGAATATTCATGTGGTACATGTATTTAAGGAATATAAAGTACGTTCAGGGTAAATTTTTAATAAGACTCAGTTAAAAAAGAAATATTAAAATATTAATTTGTTTTGATGTAGTCAAAACCAAGAGCTTCTATTAATTAACACTATACATTTCGTTAAACAAAAATAAGAACAATAAAATTAAACTTTGTTATTATCATTTCTTTTAAAAGACAATTAATTAATTTATGGATAATAAAATGCAAATATGACATTACATTTTTAATATTAGCTTCTTTTAGATATTGCATCTTTGTTTAGTTTTCTATTTATAGTTGGAAAAAACTTTAGCAAAACAATGAGACACATAGAGATATAAAACACAAAAAAATAATAAAACTTGGATCATTTTATAACAGAATCGTTTTGTCTATTTTATTTATTTGCTTACGTCAAATATTAAAAAGCTAACATTAAAAAAACTAAAATCATATTTGAATTTTGCGACCTCAAATTGATAAAAACCAATTCTTACAATGTAACAGTTACATAAATGAAATTGCAAAATAATTTTTTTTTTAATTTTGTACTAAGCGCAAAAAGAATATTGAATCCCAATTAAAAATAACCCAGAACAGCTTCCTAACGACATTAATTTTTGTAAAATACCAAGTGTACCAAAAGGCTTTTAGTGGTACAAATATGACGAATCGTCATTGACAATACAAGAAGTTAAAACATACTTAAAAACTTCTTTATTATTTTTTTAATTTACTTCTGCCCCGTGGACAGCGTTTTGTCAAATCTGACATTTAACCATTGATAATAAAAATGAAAAGCAGCATGAACTTTTAATTACTTTACTAGATTTGCAAGGTGCAAAGTTTTACCCATTAATGCAAAAATCTAAATCACATTCCGTTTGTTTACTCAAATTTCAATTTCAATAGTTTTGACCGACTTGAATTTAGTTGACCCGTTGCATATACAATAAAACTAAGCGACTTGATCGGAGAAGCTAGTTAAGTTAGATGTTGGTGCTGCTTCAATCACACGCTATTATGCGGATCGCGCGCTAGCGCTCTACTGTTACTGAAGGGAGATCCAGGCAGGCTGTACTGCCGCAAGTTGATTCTCTCACACCCACGGTGTCCAGCCCTCATACAGCAGAGCCAGATTTTCTAAACTGGTCGCCTCTTTTATTACATAATCAACCTGAAACAAACACAAGTAATATTAATATTGAAAACAGCGCTTGATGACGTAACTAGAGATTTAAGATTAAGATACCAGATATTCAAAAAACTACGGCAATTCATGAGAACAACTGCAATACATAAATAAGGTTTGTAAGGTAAGGTAAATTAATACCAAAAAAGCTGTTTTGGTCCGTTAGACCTTATCAGTGCCTGTTCGTATAGGCACACTTAAAACAAAAACGCAGTGACAAGGTAAAAGGTCAGTTCTTACAATTTGGTCACTACTCTCCTTAAGTACTTACTACTTAATAGGTAGAAAAATGCGAAGTCTTCGCTGCTGTAAGACATTTAGGGAGGGGAGGCGCCGTTCAAGTTTGGGTTTACTTGTGCTGTATATTTTTAAAATGAAGATACGGTATATGTGCACATTGTAGATTTTAAAAAACAAACGAGCCAAACCCATGTAACAAAGCATTTGCGATGATTTATATTAAATGTGCATGTATTAAGAAATGGCTTCATGAATCAAACCTATTTAACGCGTTAAATGGGTTTAAATCGTAAATAAAAAAGTCATTTCTTAATGCTACAATGTATGCATGTCATGTACTTTTAATATAACTTAACGCAAACGCCCTGTGTAACATACATAGGTTTGGCTTGTTTTTTTTAAATCTATGTGGACATACCCATATAATAAATATTTTGTGTAAATTACAGCCTGTTACTATAAAAAATTGACAATGTTTGCAGTGCTAAAATGAGCATTTTTTAAATAAAAAATAAATTTGATGAAAAAATATTTCTTTCTTTTTAAACCTCAAAAAAATTAAATTATAAAATAATTAAATATATAAGAAAAAGTAAAATAGACCAATAATGTTAAAAATTCAAATATTAAAAATTTCCATTAGTTTCACAACTTTTGTAATATAAAAAATACATATTTTTAATATTTTAAAACCTACAGTCTATAAAATAAAAATGTTAAATTATTGAGTCTGTAAATGGCTTGTTAAATAAATATTGAATAATATTAAATTAAAAAAAACTAAATGCTCTTAATACGGCCCTATTCAATGTTTTCGTCGATCACGTGTCTGCGCGGTATAGTGTTGTTTGCATTTAGTTCGCGTTGAATGCTTGTTTGCTTTTTTTTAAATCAACGTAAATGTGTTTTATTCTGTAGAAAGTTTCGCAACCCTTGCAAGGGGGAAAATTAGTTTGCTTAAAGGGTTTTAATTGTTTAGGTTCAAGCAAATCATTTAAACGTCGATCTTATGATTAAAGTAGGTCAACAACGCCCTTTGTGTTACAGAACTTCGTTAGCCCTTTTTTTATTAATAATGGAGGCCCCATTGAGATTTTCGCGGGGGGGTCTGAATTCTAAAGTACGCCACTGCCCATCGGCATCACCTTACACTAATCTCGCAGGGTATTTTATCCCCTTTCCGTTCTCCTACGTATCCCGCAATTGGAGATTGAACTGACCAAAAACTAAGTACAATCCGGAATCCTCCTCAACCAGGGCTTTAGTAATAACCCCATTCAATTGGGATTCATGAATGGTCGTAGGTGGGTTGGGTTGTGACCTTTGCCTCCGTGGAAATTCAGCTCCTCATGCCGAGTACCGACTGTGCCTAAACTTATTTGACTTTGTCTAAGATAACGTTTTTGTTTAGCTTATTTCTTATTTACGTGCTCGTTTAATTTATTTTAAGAGACTGTTGTTTATTTTAGTTTCGGTAACTTGTTAAACACTTTAAATTTATGGGGCTGGCCTCTTAAGTTTATGTTTATATTATATTTTGTGAATTTCTTAGTTGATTTGGTTTATTTACACTGTTATGCTGTTTTCGGTAACAATGATTGATTATTACCAGATTTTTGTTGCAAATTTGCGTATTAGGTCATGCAGTTTTAATACTTATTAGATTTTGCAGGTGGTGGCCCATTCCTCTCTTGGTTAGACTCGTTTCTTCTTTACATAGGTGATTCCTTGACCTGTCCCGTGTCACTTAATTATTATCGTGTCCGTATGGACTTTATCCCTGTATTCACTTGTTGAGAGATTGCTTTTTGAGGCACTATTTAATATTTCTATTAAGAATTTGGAGAAGAGGTAAACTGCACAGATAGTAAAACCTAGCACTAATTTCACAAAGTATTTTCCTTGAACTACACTGTATGAGCGATTTTTATGTTTCTTTAAGACTTTTATTGTGGTTAGGTATTTATCTGACTACGTGTTTTATTAAATAACTTTATATTAAAAAACAAATTGTTTAGGCAGCACAACCCTCAGTCGCCCTCATTAATCTCTGACATATATAAATATAAAATATTATATTTTTTAAGATCAGTGGAAATGTCAAATATATATAAATATAATTACAATACACGGTGGTTAAAACTAAAGTATAGGACGAACAAAAATGCCAACCAAAACTGATAGCATATTCTGATTATATACCCTTTTGGTAACACAAAAATGTATTTATCAAAATTCCAGCTGATCCTTTTTTTAAGTTTAGCATATTTCTTAGTATTTTAAAATTGTTTATGCCATTTCGATAAGTACCATTATCCAATGTTTATAAAATTTGGCAGATGAATCACTAAAATATGAATAAATTACATTATAAATACAAAATAATGTAATATGCAGTTTGCAATATCATATTTATTGTTTTAAGGTAATACAAAAATAATAAAAAACTAAAGATTCTTTGAAGCAAAATCGATTACTGCTCGCCTTAAATTTTCAGTATATCTTGGATTTTCTATCAAATTAATTTTAAATTTGCTTCAGTACTTTAAAAATTCTCTATGAACAGATTATCCCTCCTGTTCCGACCAAGTTCCCAAGCTTTCCTCCAAAAACTGAAGGCATTCTTTGAAATGACTTATGAGTACATGAATTTTTAATGTTGTGGTCACCTGAGTATCCAATATAGCATTTTTTAGGATATTTGTATGTTTTTGAAGTTTTGAAGATATACAGTTTTTACAGAGAAACAGTATTTCTAAAGGCTTTAGTCTTTGTACAAACATGCTTCTTACCTCTAGCGATATCCCCTAGACAGTAAGAGTATAGCAAAACTTTAGTTTTATTCTGGCTGATTTTTTGTAATAACGATTGAATCGTCCTCTTCCCTTAATAATTTAGTATGTCCTTTATATCTTTCCGTTTTGGAGATAAAGCACATACATTGGCTGCCGCGAAGTTCTTTAGTAATCTCTATATTTTGAAAATTTGGCAATTGTAGCATAGGCCTGGCAAAAATACCTTGTTTTCGCTCAAATAAAGCTTTTCTGCATGAGCTACATATTGAAGTGGAAAATTTTGTATCACTTAAGTTAAAGTTTTCGTTTGAAAAAGTCTGCAGTAATTTTTATATTTTGTCAGAAACCCCTACACTCTGAATTTTTCGATTAACTAAATGTTTATAATAAAATATATAACTAAAATAGCGGTTTAGCTCCAAAAACGGTCCATGTAACCGGACTGTTTGTGAAACGTTTGTGTTGGACCGTTTCAGCAAAAAAAGGTTCGACTGGACCGGACCGCTGTGGAACATTGATAGTGTGGACCGCCAAAAACGGTCCGGTAAACGGTCCATGAACCGGTCCATGTTTATTTATTGGGAAATTATGTTGTTCTTAAAATATTTTAAATATAAGGAGTATTGTGTTTCTGACAATTCAGACCTATACAATATTTACCTATACAGAACATTGAAATCAAGAAGGATTACAGCCATCATATTTACATTATACAAGTTGCTACGTAACGAATTAGATAATAGTTACTAATTATTACACAGGACATCTACAATCTGTGAAGCGCTACAAGCCAGAGGCACTCCTCCAGTCCTGGTTAGTTGGGTTAAATCCTCACTGGAGGAGAGGCAGGTCAGTGCATCTCTGGGAGACTGCCATTTTGACATCGGTGTGAGGGGCGGCTGCCCACAAGGCGGCTGCCTATCACCCCACCTATGGTGTTTAATAATGGATGGACTTCTGGAGAGACTGACAGCTGAAAAGCTGTATGCACAAGCATATGCAGATGATGGTACAGTCTTAATCAGAGGAGGCATTCTAGGTGTAGTCTGCGACAGAATGCAGACAGCATGCAGAATAATAGAAAATTGGTGCAAAGAAAACGGTCTGTCGGTTAACCCAACAAAAACTGACATGATTCTTTTTACCAAACGAAGGAAGATACAGGACTTCAGGGCACCAGCTATGTATGGAAGACCTCTTGAGATTACTGAAGAGGTCAAGTACCTAGGTGTTACCCTAGATAGGAAGTTAAGATGGAAATCACACGTCGACAAAGTTGTTGACAAATCGATTGCAACTTTCTGGCAGCTGCGCCGGGTGGTGGGAAAACGCTGGGGAGTAAATCCCAAAGTCCTTCACTGGATTTATACTGCTGTCATCAGACCGCGGATACATTATGGATCAGTGGTCTGGTGGCGCAGTGTGAGCAAAACCACCATCGCTCAAAAACTGAGCAAGAAACAGAGACTGGCATGTCTCGGTATCACAGGCGCAATGAGGACTACTCCAACGACGGCATTAGAGGCCTTGCTGAGCTTGCCTAGTCTTTCCCTCTGGATAAAGAGAGAAGCAATGGCGAGCCATTTAAGGATGAGGGATGCCAATAATTGGTTAGGAAAAGGAATAACTTATGGTCATGAGGGCATCGCGGATATGGCTGAGAGGGAGGTCCCAATTAGCAGTATTACAACGATGCCAGCAAAAGATCGCTTAAGTTTAAAAAAGAAGTTTTCCCTCACGATACCAACAAGAGAGCAGTGGGAGAAAAAGGATGTACACTTTGCACAAAATGCACTAGTGTGCTACACTGATGGCTCTCGTATGGCGAGTACACTGTCTTCAGGGGCAGGTTTCTACGTGGAAGACAGGGATATCCAAAGGAGCTACCCGCTCGGAGGATATACCACTGTCTTTCAAGCGGAAGTGTTTGCCATACTTGAGGTTGCAAACTGTGAGGATATAAGAACAGGAAGTGAGACAGATATGTACATCTGCTCAGATAGCGAAGCAGTTCTGAAAGCGCTTTGGGCAGCGAGAACCACATCGAAGTTGGTTCAAGAGTGTGAGGAAGCGCTGGAAAAGCTAGCAAGTACAAAAAGAGTGCATCTCGTATGGGTACCAGGTCATAGTGGGGTGGAAGGTAACGAACGGGCTGATGAGTTGGCCAGATTGGGATCTGAAACCCCCTGTGTAGGACCCGAACCAATTTTTGGAATTACGAGAAAGCAGGTCAAATCAGCCCTAAATAATTGGGCTGATAAAAGGGCGAACGAAAGCTGGAGAAGAAGCGGTGGCTGTAGGCAGACCAGGGATTTCCTGGTCACCCTAAGCAAACCCAAATCCATTTGGCTTCTAGGTAGGAGCCGAACCTCCTTGGGCCCACTTGTGAACATACTCACGGGTCATTGCCTAAGGAAACACCTCACGAGAATAGGGGCTGAAACCAGCCCCTCCTGTACCCAATGCGGAAGGGAGGATGAAACCTCCTTTCACTTCCTGGGACAATGTGAGGCCCTCGGCAGACAAAGGTATAAAATCTTTGGAGTGATGACACTCCAAAGGGAAGAGTTGGCCTCTCTTGCCTGGCAGGATATCCTGACCTTTATAAGAAGGTCTGGAAGATTCGAAAGGGCTGGTATGGGCGAAGAGGAGGATGAGGAGTAGTTTGGTTGGTTTAGGAGGGGCAGATAAAAAGGACCATAGAGTCTAATTGCCAGGCTTCGAGCCTACCCAACCGTACTACTACTACTACTACTACTACTAATTATTACACATAAAATTTAAAGTAAACAATTTAACTAGAAGTAATGATATAATTTTCTCAAGAGTAAATGTGTATATGAAATCACCCTGGTCTCTCGACATCTTCAGCTACTATGGTAACCTGGTTTTGAGTGAAATAGACATTTTTATGGTAATTTTTTAGGATAAAAATTATTGGTCTTAATATAAATAATGGATTAAATGTAAGACTTGCTTAGGATAAAGTTAATTATTTTCTTTTTGTGACTTAAAGTAATATTAAATGTATTTGTATTTTATCCCATCTGTAATTGGGCATCGCCTGTTGATGTTGAATAAATATTATTTTAGTCATTGAGTATTATGAAGTGGCAAGTTTATAATAGTACAAAATATTTGAAGTAAATACGCGCAAGGAGCATTTTAAGGAATGATTGAAGTTGAAAGATTTAAAAAGAAATAATAGCTGTGATGTATTGAAATACTGAAAATATATGAATAACATAAATTAACAAATTTTGTTAAAAATATTCAGATGGAAAAGATGTTACCACATTAAATTTAGGTTTTTAAATTAAATGAGTGTTTACTACCATCCTTCTCCAAGGTCTTTGAATATGTAGTGTGTCACAGGCTTGTGGAGTTTATGAATAAGTCTGAAAATTTTAATGATATTCAGCATGGTTACCTAAAGGCCCGATCGACAACTACTGCAGTGTTCCAATTTTCTAAAAAAATCCTACAGACATAAGAAAAAAATAAGCTGGCACTAGGTATATTTCTAGACCTGTATGATTGTTTAAATCACAAAGTATTACTTGAAAAGATGGAAAAATATGGAATCAGAGGTGTGGCACTGCAGTGGTTTAGATCGTACCTAGCAAATAAAACCCAAAGGGTGTGTATTAACAAAAATAATAAAAAGACATTATCAGACCTTGGAGAAGTGATGGTAGGTATTCCACAGGGAAGCATTTTGGGCCCATTATTGTTTATTGTCTATGTTAATGACATAACTGAAATAAAACAGGAGTGTTGTGCCATAACGAACTATGCCGATGATACAAATCTGCTTGTCACTTCAAACAGCATCACAGAAATTGTCCCTTATGCTGACAGGGCATTAAAAAAAGCAGAAAACTGTTTTTTTTTTAATAAATTAATCCTAAATCAAAATAAGACAAGTTGTGTTCTGTTCCAAACAAGTCATGCTCGATTTGGGGTTCCAGATGAGATTGTTATTAACAACCAAATAATTCATTTAAATAATACCACCAAATTTTTGGGATTAAACTTGGATGCAACACTTAGCTGGGACATGCATGTCGAGCGGACATAAGGATATTGTCAAAGTATTTAAACTTTGAAACATTAAAAATTATGTATCAGGCGAATTTTGAATCGGTGGTTCGTTATGGCATAACATTCTTTGGAAATGGAAAAAACATTAATGACATGTTTGTTGTGCAAAAGAGCCATTCGCATAATGAGCAGGTTGTCAGTGAGAGTCTTGCCAGGGAAGATTTTGGAATAGCGGCCTTTTGACTGTTACCGGAATTTATGTATTTGAATGTCTAAAATTCTTTCACAAATATAAAAAAATATTTGAACAACATAAACCACAATATATACACAATACAAGGTGTTTAATGTATATATATCCGGTACATAGGTTAACGGTGACATAGAAAGGCTGTTATTATAGTTGCACAAAAATTTTTAATGCGTTGCCAACCAATTTGAAATTGGAAAAAAACTTCAAAAGTGTTTGTAATTTAGTTTTAAATTTTCTGATCAACTTAGAGCCTTATTCGAGGAATGAATTTTATAAAAATGCATTATAATTTAATTCCTGCATACTTCTGACTGCAATTTCTCTAAGGTTGCATTTTTTGTTGTGTATAGCCTTCTATGAAATAAAGATTATTATTATTATTATTATAAAAGTATAGTCTGAAACACGTTTGGAATTGCATATTCCGCTCTCGTGAAACTCTTCACTCGAGCGGAATATGCTGTATTCCAAACTTGTTACAGAATATACTATTCCAACAAATATTACGTTTTTATTTTGTTCTACAACAATTATAGGTAACTTCAACGCACCTTATATTTAATTCGCGCTAATATTTTTTTTTTTTTATTTAAAAAAGTACATCCTAAATATCACAGTAGCGATAATATCAGATAAGTATAAATATAATAAATAAATAAGTATGTATAATATTGGATTTATATGATAAATAATAAATAAGTAAATATATTAAGTAGATATTCTTTGGTGCAAAATAAAAGTCTTCAAGTTGGTTTTGAAAGTCGTCTCGGGTAGGTTTTTTATATTCTCTGGTAATTTGTTGTATAGTTTGTACCCTTGATGTTTTATTTTCATTTCTCCATATTTTGTTTTGGCTCTTTCTATGTCTATTTGTTCACGTCCTCTTGTATTATGTTCATGTGTGTCCGCTCTTTTTCTAAATGTTACTTCTTCATCCAGTATCTTATTTGTTATGATCTTGTGCACTAATTTATGGGTTTCTAGTTGTCTAAGCTCTTCGATATTTAGCTGTTTGGTGATCTTATAAAGTTGTTCAGTAGGCATGTATTTGTCCAATTTGTGCATAATCTTTAATATTTTATTTTGATTTCGCTGCAACGATTTTTTAGCGGTTTCGTTTGCTGTTGCCCAAAAAGGTAGACCAAAGTGCTGCAGGGTTGCCACTGGCAACTTGCCAGTTATGGCTAATTTTAGCCAAAATGGCTATTTTTAAAAACCAATGGCTAAAAAAAGGGGGCAAGGAGTGACACAGGATTAAATGATTGTTTAACAGAAAATCTTAATGTTGTTGGTGATAGTTTTGAGGTTCCTTGCCTTTCAATAAACTAATTGCAACATTATTAACAATATTTATATATACTTTCTAACCTTGCGTCACTTATGTTAATTTATTATTTTTTTGTTTTTATATATTTTATTTTACGTATTTATTTTTATTATTATTCTATCATAGTATGATTTTTTTTATGTTGGGAGTTTAAAAAAATTAATGTTAAAGTTATTTGGTTGTAATTGGCCACACTTATTTATTTATACCATTTTTGTTTTTACCTGGCAACCCTGGAGCGGCGTAGCAGTAGTCACTTCCAATTAATATAAACCGCCTCGCCGTACAATAAACAATGCCATAATTATTTTACGGCAGAGCTTAAATAAATTAAATTTCATTATGAAATTATTACTATTTTAAATAATTATATTTATCCATAGTTGTGTAGTTATCATTAAAATAGTACATTATATACAAGGCGGAGAAACCACATATTATAGCATACATTTAAGTAGATTTTGTGCGAGGCAATAAATAAGCTTTCGCCTCTGGGTTTTATATAGAATTTTGTTCAAGCATTTAATTACAATATGTCTTTGAGATTTTAAAACATCATTTTTAGAAAGGTTCAACTGACATGATGACATTTTAGCTTCATTTCTGTACGGAGTTTTATAATAATTTGACTTTTGAACTAGTATTAAAATGAAGTATTTCTATATAGATATATTAGTGTTATAAGATGAATATTATTATACGCTTGAAAAAAATTTGCATTATTTACCTGTTCTTGTGCTGTATATTTTTTGCCTGGATCTGGATCTCGACCTTCCAATTTCATTTTCACCCGACGCCATACGCCGACAGCATAAGCGTTCCTTTGCTGCCCTTTAGTGGTGCTGTCTTGTTTTAATGGCATTTTAAGATTTAAAAGACAATCCCGCCGCACCAAAGATGTTCTACCTTTTTTAACCTTAAACAAAAATTAACAAGAAGCAATGAGTAACAAGAAATCGGACAAAACGACTTACCTCCAAATCAAACAACATATCATAAACGTGTTCTGTATGCGTCTTAATAAACTCTACATGTTTGATGGCATCGTTGATTTCCTCCATGCGGACGTCCTTTTTAAAAGCGGCAAAAAGCAGGTTAAAGTGCTCGATGTATTGACGGTATTCCTCGATAAAATAATGAGTTTGCACGCTGTAATCTTCAATTTTAGTCATGGCTTTAATTAAATTCTTAACGTCCGACATTAATCGCCCCTGAACACCGTAAATCAACTTAAGATTTTCTATTATGCTTTGCAAATTCAGTCTTTCGGATACTATGAAGGTTTTAGCTTCGGTTAGTTTCTTCTGCTCAAACGATATTTTCTTTGTAATCTGATCTGAAATCACGTTTAACCATTTTGGATCGTTCAGTAGTTCCGTTGAAAGTAAATTCATTATGCACTCCTCAGTATGAGACATGCTCTCAATTCTTTCATTCCCGTATTGACAAGCAGTTCGCCAATTTTCAAAACTATCGGAGAAAGCATTATTGTATGCATTCGACTCCACGTTATTATTCCGTAAAATTTCGTATTGTAAAATTGAATTTCCGATAGAAAGAATATTAGCAGCAGCTTTCTGCTCGATATTTAATTGGTTATCTCTTAATTGGACGGCATTCTCAAACGCTTTTGATATTTCACCTACATTTGGATTTGCACCCTTAGCCCAATTTAACCTTTGGTAAGCATTATCAATTAAAATTTGTTGTTTTTCCCTAGCCTCTGCCAATTTGGTAAGCACAGTTTGAAGGGCTAGCAATTCCTTGTGACAATCTGCTAAAAGTTTATTTCTCACCGAATTAATGCCATGTACATCATACATAAAATTATGCACCATTAATTGATTTTGCAATCTAATGGCTGTTGATTGCAACTGAGCAAGTTTTTGTTCCAATTTTTTGGGGTTTTTTATTTTTTCCCATGCATTCTTTAAGTTATTTTCCAAACTCTGAGCCTGAGACCAAACATTGTGAGTAAAAATACCTTTCTTCAGGCAAACATTCCATGCCTTGTGGCAAATTTCGTCTAGAGGAACTTTATGCTCTGCTCCTATGTCTCTTTGCTCAATTTCAAGAGTCAAGTCAATGCCTAAATTCTGTAAAATGCAACAAACTGTGTATGCTATAGTCTCTGTGGTTATTCCCAATAATTGGGAAGATATAAAATCTGCTATAAACTGTCTAACCGGTTTGGCCAATTGTTCATCATTATAAATTACCAAATTTGCATTCTTTTTAAAGGATTGGCACATATCCTGACAAATTCTTAAAAAGTCAGAAATGGTTTGGATCCGTTTCAGTAAAAATATATCGTCAAGAATTTTTCTTACATCAGGATTAAAGATGTGGGCAGAAATACTTTTTGCCTCTTTTACTTGATCTATTTTCTTCCAAGATTTTGGTGTTTCCAAATCGCTTAAAGTACTTACTAAATTGTTCATTTCTTGGGATAGCTTTTCAAATAACCCATTGAATCCCATCAAAAGCATTTTTCCCTGACTTAAGTTTTCCGTTTGAAGACCTATTAAAGTCTGGAACTTTAATCTTATGTTTAATACCATTTCTAGTATATAGTCATAAGATTTCTGAAAAAAAAATATTAAAAATTATTATTATGTTATTAGTCTATAAACTTACATTTACATCCATTTGCATTAAAATTGACTGCAAAATTTTGCCCAACTGTTCAATTAATTCCGGTATACTTAAATCCAAACTTGAAATTAATTCGTTTAAGTCGTTGATCATTTGAAGAACAGTCGGTTCTTCACTTTGAATTTTTTTCATACTTTCCGGAAGAATAATCGTATGGAAGTTGGATTGTAAATCAAAAAGACCCTGATAAATATTATTGGCAATCTTAACTCCACTCAGTACACGCAACATTTTTCTGTCGTCTGTGGTCTGTCTTAAAAGAAGGGTGTTTACCATTTCTACAGCTCTCATGCTGTTCATTACCAAGTCATCCAAGAACCAATCTCCTTCTCTTGTTTGCAGCTTTATGAGCACTTTGTCGCTGCGATGGGCAGCAATTTCTAGTGTAATGAAGTTTCTGTTGAGAAGAACCAATTCGCTGGCGATAACAAATTCAAAAGCACTGGCTGCACCTTTTTCGGAAGCCAAAAATGATGAAATACTTAGTTTCGCGTTAGAATAGAGTTTTTCAAGCACAATTGTTGGTTCTTTTGTGCTTAGTTTAGTAAGTTCTTCAAATAGTTTATTAACGTGTCCAACTGTTTCTTGATAAAGACTATCTAAACCAATTGCGAATTTAAATACGTTAGTGGACAAATTGTTTTCCAATAGGACATTGAAATTTTCAAAGACATACTCGCAAGATTCAATGTTGCGTTTTTCAAGAAGTAAACTTGCCCATTGTACAAATAATTTTAATCTGTGATTGTCCAGGTAAGATTTAGGACTGGTTGATAATATACTATAATAGTTTTGTAAATGCTGCAAACATTTTTTAGAGAAAATGTTAATGTTTTGGCATAATTCATCCATTTCGGTTTCGGACTGCTGGCATTGTAAGATTACATCGTCTTTACCAGCATTGTGAAGAAACTCACGAACCAAATCAAATATGTTTGTATCGCATCCGTTACTACTAATATTTATCAAGAGGGCATTTGAAGTGCCTTTCTCAAATGATTTAAGAGCTTCGTCGTAAACAAGCAAGTGTCTTTGGTAATCTGTGATAATTGTTTCCAGATCTTTCTTAGCTAAATTCATAGCACTCTGTGATTTGTGGTAGGCTGCATATTTCATTGGCAACTTGTACAGGGGGTGTTTATTGGCACCATGAGCTTCAGCTTCCTTTACTAACGCCAACTGCTGATGCAAATCTTGAAGTAAATCATCACTTTTTGCTATAACCTTTTCTATGCTCAACCAGTGGTTCAAACTGGCTTCCAATTTTGGTAGTTCGCTCAACACCTCGTCTTTGTTCTCGTTCCATTCAGCTCTCATTTCGGTACATCGTACATTAAACATGGATAGAGTGACTTCGCGTTCCAAGTCCTTTTTACTTTGTCTCGAGGTACCTGTAGTGGCCACCCCTCCAAAAGTTGTTCCTGCCAAAACCTCACCACCCACGGTCCAGTCTATCAACGGATCGTATACGAAAGCTTCGAGAAGCGTTAGCAGCGTTTCTCTGCCCTTTTTCATTGTCTTTAATACGTTTTCGCAGGCCAAACGGAAAATACCCTGAAAAAAATGAATATGTATATTTTAAAGATCGGCTTTTTTTTCTTTTTAAATAAAATGCTGTTAAGTGAATATTTCAGAGAAATTTTTAAGTCGGGAAATTCGAATCGTTTTTATAATTATGTAAAATTTCGTTTGTGAAACAATAAATATGAATTTTATAGTTATTGATAGACAACAAAAAAGTTTTTTGCGATTTTTAGGCTAAAAGTCAATTAATTAACAGTTGGCAGAAAATTGAAAATTGTTTTGTATTCTCCAAAAGTAAAATTGCAATTAGCATTTAAGGAATTATCTTTAAAAATCACAAAGTATATATACTAGGGTGTTTCAAAATAAGGCAATATATATATTTTTCAAATTCATCTGAAATTCTAAATTAATTAATTAATTTTAAAAGGTCCATCATCGAATTTAAAGTTTTCCCATTGATTTAACATGAAAAAATAGATTTTTAAGATTTATTTCGCCTGCATACTATGTAGAAGTTTTTTTTATAAACAATCACTGTTCCCTTTTTAGCATTAAATTATCTACAAAAAAATCACACAGAGTCCAGTTTGTAGATTCAACTCTTTCTTTTTTATTAACGTTAAAACGTATAAATTCTAAAAAAAAATGATATTTTTACATTTAGCGGCTAAAGTACTAATTGTACAAGAAAAGGTTAATTAGCATTTTTAAAGATCTTTTAATGCTCTACAAATTTGTTTTAAACAATTTTTTTTATCACCTACAGTTCAAAAGTTTTCAACTGTTTTGAAGCGAAGTATAAAATTTTATTTGCAGTCAAAAGCTCATGAAATTAAGAATATCATAAAAGTTAAGCTATTTTAGCTTAAATTCAGCGATTAATTGAGTGTGTTGAAGAATCTCGATACGTTATTTATAGTGCTTCGAGTTTCCTGCAAAATTGTCCCTAAACTTTTTTTCCTACAGTGAATATTATAATATATTGCATAATCATGAAAATAGGATTTTAGACACGTACAACTTTTAAACTGTGGGTGATAAAAAAATTGTTCAGAAAGAATTTGTAGAACGTTAAAAGATCTTCAAAATTGCTAAATGACTTTTTTTACGATTTGTAGTTTAGCCGGTAATTGTAAAAATAACAATTTTTTTTAGAATTAATACGTTTCAACGTTAATAAAAAAGAAACAGTTGAATCTACAGACTGGACTCTGTAAGATTTTTTGTAGATAACACTGTGCAACACAAAAAATGAACTGGGATCAAATCTGAAAAAATCGAATCTAGGCAACCCCCAAAACAAATCCTTTAAGGGGTTTTACCAGTTTAGCTCGAATAATGGAGATATATAAAAGCCCCTAGAACTTAAAAAATATGAATTTTATAGAAAAATGCTCGGACACGTCGATTTTTATTTTATATGACGCAATTTTCAGTTGATTTCATTTAATGTATACATTACCTGTTATTTAAGGTATAACAAAGGGTAATGTATACATTACCTGTTATTTAAGGTATAACAAAGGGTAATGTATACCTTAAATAACAGGTAATGTATACATTACCTGTTATTTAAGGTATAACAAAGGGTAATGTATACATTACCTGTTATTTAAGGTATAACAAAGGGTAATGTATACATTACCTGTTATTTAAGGTATACCAAAGGGTCGGTTTTCTTAAAAAAAAAAGTGGGGTTGCTGGGGGTGAATCTGTGAAAAAATAAAAATTTCAAAATCAACTGAAAATTGCGTCATATAAAATAAAAATCGACGTGTCCGAGCATTTTTCTATAAAATTCATATTTTTTAAGTTCTAGGGGCTTTTATATATCTCCATTATTCGAGCTAAACTAGCAAAACCCCTTTAAAGATTAGTTTTGGGGGTTGCATAGATTCGATTTTTCCACATTTCATCCCAGTTCAAATTGTAAGGTCAAAATTAGTCGCACAGTGTAATTTGATGCTTAAAAAGACCAGTGATTTTTTTATAAAAAAAAGTTGTACATAGCATGCAGGCGAAATAAATCTTAAAAAACTATTTTTCCTTGTTAAATCAATGGGAAAATTTTAAATTCGATGATGGACCTAAATTAATATTACAGACTGGATTTTTTGTAGATAATTTAATGGTAAAAAAGGACCAGTGATTGTTTATATAAAAAAAATAGTTCTACATAGCATGCAGGCGAAATAAATCTTAAAAAACTATTTTTCCAATCAATGGGAAAACTTTAAATTCGATGATGGGCCTTTTAAAATTAATATTAAGAGCTCAAATTTTGACAGAATTTTTTTTTAGAATAAGTGACGAGAATTTCACATGAATTTGAAAAAATAAAAATATTGCCTTATTTTGAAACACCCTGTATACGTATGTACGTTATATTCGTTGCTATTTTTAATTGAAATTCCGCATGATAATAATGACGTATATCTTACAGCTTAACAATGAAAAACTTCGTTAAGCTTTAGTTTTTAAGATACAGAACCTTCTTAGTGATCAAAACTCAAAATACATTTCCTCCGTTTCCACCTGGATTTTTACCCGCAAATTTTATTACTGTTGGGACAAAGGAAAAGGAAATGGAGCAGCGAATAAGCCAACCACTTAGTCAAATTTATAATAAAAAATAGTACAATGTTAACAATGTTTTTAAGTTTTAGTTATTTATCTTGATCAATCAATTCTGTATCTTGAGAACCCGAGCTAATACAAATTTTGCATTGCCATATTCATTTTTTTTAACCCAAAATTAGTTGGATTTAGCTATATTCAGTTGGAGGAAACGGACAGAAATTATTTTTTGTTGGGCTGTATTAATAATTATAATTGTTTGCATATAGCAGAACCTTCGCAACGCCCCACAATGGTTTATCGGCGGGAAAAATACATTTTTATTTTTGGTAATTTTATGACGGTAACGAATAGGTTTTGCAAAAGAAAATGGTTTAGCTAATACTTTAGATTACTTGTCTGTTTTAACTTTATGAGTGCTTAAAGTGGTTTATTTTTAAAATAGTAAATTTGACTAAAAATAACGCCTATAGGGTATTTAAATATCCTATATTTTGTAAACGACCTTAAAAAGTATAAAGTATATAAAAATCAGACATGATTTTTTGTTTATATGTTTAAATTTTTTTATTAAAGAATTTCCATTTATAAACTTATATACTTGTATATTAAATTAAAATAAAAAATTATAACTTTTTCAAGAATAAATTATAAATAAAAAAAAATAGATAGGCATTTAACTTGCGATCTTTGCGGTATTTTTTTAACACCAACTTAGTAAGCTTTCCTTTATAAGTTTACCTAAAATTAGGTGCATAATCGAGGTACCAGGTACTTACGTTAAGGTTTATAAAAAGTCTAAAAACGCATTAAAAATAAACACCTTTATATTTTTCAATTAAAATATAGTAATAAACGTAATAAGACTTACTAATATGGAAAAGTTATTTATTAAATAAATTTTATTTATTGCGCAGCATGGCTAAATCACGGTACCTCGTACTTACGTTAAGGTTTATGAAAAGTCTCAAAACGCATAAAAAAATAAAACCTTTATCTTTTTCAATTAAAATTTAGTAATAAACGTAATAAGTCTTACCTAACACTGTTAAAAAAAAATTATTTTGTAATGCGAAAGTTATAGACTTATTTTCGCAAAACGTGAAAAATCTAAAAACGCATTAAAAATAAAAACCCTTACCTATTTTTTTTAAATTAAAATATTATGCACAAGTCTTTTAGTTAACATAGTTAAAAAAATATTTCCACAAAACGTTGCTTTTTAACCATCTAGAAACGCATTAAAAAAATAAAACACAGTAAAAAATAAATACTTATTTGTAAAAAAAAATTAATGTAAATATTTTCGCAAAACGCCCCTGCTAGTATCCATTATATTTAAAACAAATAATTAAATTAAACCAAGTAGGTGCTTTGAAAGGAATTACATTTTGTTTAGCTTTACTATTTAATGTAATTAAAAAATTTAAATATAAAAAAATGTATAGGACTAAAACGGCAAAAGCTGATTGTCACAATGTCATTTGTGGCTTAATATATTATCAGTTAATTAATAAAGTTCTGTAATGCAGTTTATCAGCATTGACAAAAAAAGAAAATAATAATTAATATTTTATTAAGCATTTATTAATCGGAATCAATTAATCATAACGACAGCGAATATTTAAGGCTCAACAAAGTTCTGTAATGCAGTTTATCAGCATTGACAAAAAAAGAAAATAATAATTAATATTTTATTAAGCATTTTTTAATCGGAATCAATTAATCATAACGACTGCAAATATTTTAGGCTGAAAGTAAATATTGAATATAAATAAAAAGTATTTTTATCACAATAATGTATTCAATCTTTATTAAGTTTTGCATTAATTATAACTCGCCAAATTAAACTCGGTAATAATTTAAAAAAATATATATATTTTTTAAATTTAAACGCAATATCGGAAAATTTTGTATACTGTTAAAGTTCAATTAAGGAACGAAGTCATTGCAAACAGGATGGCGTGATTTATCATCGGGTTTTAATCAACTTCCCCAATAAAAGTCTTTACAGTTAAATTGGAAAGAAACTAATGTTATAACAAATATTCCTTTTACCGAACCAATACCATTTTGTTGACAATAATTTTAGTGTTCATCAGTCGGTTCTCGATACCCGGTTCCGGATACCCGGAACCGGCTAGAACCGATTTTTTCAGGAATCGAAATACCTGGAAACGGGTATCCAGAACCCTTTATAAGTTAAAATATTGATTTTTCTTCTTAATACATCTTCCTCGCCAAATTTTTTACTATGTTACCAAATTTAATATTTACTATACTAGTAAGTTACTACTAGTAATTTACTAGTATAGTCGCGGCCAATTCTTCATGGGGGCGCGTCATCAACTTTTTTTTCCATAATTTTATAAAAAACGTTTAAAAATAGGAAGTTTTTACAGTTCTTGGCAAACAATACCCTTATGGGTCATTTTACTCAGATTTTTCTC